CCTGGGTGGATCTTTGACCTATGGCGAGCTTGGGATGGGATGGGTGGCCCGGAGAGCGGGAGTGTGCGTCGCCTGGTTGGCCCTGACGCTGAACCCGAGCTGAAGGCTATGCAGTATCGTTACAACAAGCAAAGCCGGACATCGGTATGGAGACGGACTTTGAACGGCGCATTGCCAACATTCAAGGAGGGAAAGCCAGTGGGTGGTATGACGAGTCTGGATATCTGGGCAGGACTCAATATACCAGTCTTTGTGATCGCGGGCGATAAGGATACGCTGACGCCGCCTTCAGAGGTTCAGAAGATATTCGAGGCGGTAAAGTTAGGCCTCAAGGACGCAGGATCCGAAGCAGTGGGAACAGATGCTTTAGGGGCTGTTTCAGCTGCTCCTGTGGATATATCGACTCGACTCGAGGATCATCTTCCCGAGACCATTGAAGATATTAGGGAGTCGGACTTTTATAAGACGAAGGAACCTCAATCCGAAAGTCAAGATGACGACCCTTCAACTCCCCAGGAGACACCAGCGGATGTCCCGCCCCAGCCTCGCCATCCTCGCAAGGTAGTCAAGTACATTGTGATGCCGGAGGCCACTCACGCTGTGCTCTACGTCCCCAAGTCTGTTCGTGCCTTGGCTGGCTTGGTATCCGACTTCCTCGCCACCAACGTGACGAAGAGATTGTCTTTGGCCTGGCAGCTGCAGTACTTATCTCGGGAGGGTAAATGGGATGTCAAGAATTTGAACAAATGGAAGAAGGTAGCACCGGTATCTGAGCCCATCGGTCCTGCCGGAAAGCCCATTTTCCGAGCTATGAAGACCCTCCGTGAGGCAGACGACGTACACACTCCCACCGAGTTTGTCAGCCACTGGGGACACATCATCAAGAACGTCGTCGATATTTCAAAAGACCAGCCTGTTTATGACCCGCGAGGGCTTGAGCGGGCAGGCGTCCATTATCACAAGTTCCCCACCGTTTCCAAGGTGCCACCCACAGCCGAGGAGGTCGAACAATTCATCCAGCTCATCGACACCATCCGAAGCCGGCAACCAGAGAATGACGAGGGCGAGAAAGAGCTGATCGGCGTCCACTGCCACTATGGCTTCAACCGCACAGGCTATTTCATTGTGTGCTATCTCGTTGAGCGATGTGGTTTTAGTGTCAAGGATGCGATTGCAGAGTTTGCGACGAACAGACCACACGGTATTCGGCACTCTCATTTCTTGGACCGCTTATACGTGAGATATAGCATGGAGGCTGTCCAGAAGGACTAAACCCTGGCCTGTCCCGATTTATTTCTCTGCAGGCGTTGTTCACACTTAGGCTTCATTTTTGTTTCTCCAGCTAGTCTTTGATGACTGATGATCATAGCGGGAAGGAATCTAGGTATCGCTTTTGATTTGTTTTAGGGAAATTCGCTTAGCTCTTAGACGGCGATAGGGAGTTTAAGCTTGACGGCCTTGGGTATACTTGGTAGATAGCGGCGCGCTTGGGAAGGTTTCATTGGGTTTCTTAACGAATTTCATCTCATTTAGTCATGACCTTCCCTTCCCTGTGATTTGATGCTACGAACCTCTATCCTCCGAGGTCAACATCCGCCCGCCTTGCATCCTGCAATGGACCTTGTTTTTCTCCATCTTAATTTAGCCTCTCCCTGGGGTCATCATGATATGAATTCTTGGAGCATCATAGTAGTCATCATGAGCGCAAGTCTGATTGTAAATTTCCGCATTTATGATCTTGTAATGCTGGCTAAAGTTACTCGAATGATCCATATCAATCTATCCAATTCTTCTCGTGTTCCCAGGGTATAATCTTCCCCCCATATCTCAGAAGTATCTCTAAAATGCCTTTCTACTGATCTATTTGATCAATCTGAGCATAATCATTGTACCTGTATAAGCTTCAATCAACTTTATACCTCCTCATTGCTGTGATAGTCTTTCTCGTGTAGCTTCTTCGCGTCGAAATTCAAGCTGCCTTTCATCTCCGCCAACTTCAGCTGCTTCCTGAGCAGGGTGGTGACCTCCTCCACGTCGACATCGAGATAGCTCCTCAGGTACTTGCCGACATCGGTGTTCTCCACATTTCCGCGGATGACGCTGGCGCTGTCCGGGCCAGAGCTGTAGATGTTCACGTCGAGGGCGGTGTGGCCGTGGGTGCTCCAGCCGACGTGGGCGCGGAGGGAGATCATGGCGGCGAAGATGTTGACGGACAGGTCGGGGTGGGCGATGAGGTACTCGAGCTCCTCGTCGGTGGCGTGCGTGATGCCCAGGCCTCCGATGACGAGCTCCTCGTTGATCCAGGACTTGAGCTTTTTCTTGGTCTCGGAGGTGGTAGAGACGCGCTTGATGAGCTTGCTGGCGAGGTACTCGCATGAGCTGTTGGCTCTGGCGAGGGCCTCCGGGTACCAGTTGTAGACGGGGAGGTGGCCGGGCTCCTGGAGGGCGGTGGCGAGACCGCCGGTCTCATGGTCGCTGGTTGCCACAAGAACGGTCTCGGTCTCGGAGCTTTCGATGAAGTCGAGGACGGCCTTGAAAGCCTTGTCGTATTCGATGACCTCATGAACCTGCGCAGCAGGGTCATTGATATGGCCGGCATGGTCGATGCGGCTGCCCTCGATCATGATGAAGAAACCTTTGTCACTGTCCGCGGTCGCCTTTTCGAGAGCACGGAGAGCGGTGGTGGCCATCTCGCTGAGGCTGGGATATACGTCGTTCTGGTTGCGGCGGTCGAGTTCGAAGGGAAAGTCGTAGTGCGCAAATAGGCCAAGGATGGGCAGGTCGACCTTCTCGCCGCCCTCGAGAGCATCGAAGCTCTTGCGGTCTCCAGCATAGGTCCAGTTGTACTTGTCCTGCGCGAGCTGAACGACGTCAATGTCGTCTTCACGGCAGCCGCCGTCGGTGTGGTTGGGGAGGAAGTGGCAGCGACCACCGCCGAGGATCAGATCAACCGAGCGGCCGAGCGGGCTGCTGGCGCCGATTTCCTGCATGGCGATCTCGTCCTGCATGGATCTGACGAGAACGTGGCTGGCGAAGCAAGCGGGTGTAGCGTCGGTAATGGCTGTAGTAGCCACAAGACCAGTCATATACCCGGCTTTCTTGGCGGCTTCCAGGACAGAGCCGCAGGGCTCATGGTCTGGTGTAACAGAGATGGCACCGTTGTAGCTCTTGCGGCCGCAGGAGAAGGCAGTTGCACCGGCAGCGCTGTCGGTCACAAGGGAGCTGCTGGAGCGGGTACGGCTGGTGCCCCAGAAGTGTCTGTCCAGTGTAAGGACGTCGTCGATGGGGAGGTCGTCGATGTGTTGGCGGAACGAGCGTGTGAGCGAGAGCGAGGCGGGGCCCATGCCGTCGGAGACCATGAACACAAGGTTGCGCTTGGAGGCATGGTGCTTGGGAGGGCGATGGGGGGCCGTCTGCTGGACATGCTGGGCCCAGACTGCGATGATGATGACGGCAGCGGTCGCAGCGAGAGCCCAGATGAAAAGACCAAGCTCACGGATGCGTGACGGGCGAGGGTTGGGTTTGGTCGAGGCAGCGGCGTCGCCAGAGGCGAGGAGAGGGCTTCGCTCGGACGTCTGCATTTGAGGTGACATGAGCAAGGAGATTCTCGCACCGGACCGGAGCAGGAGGCGGTGAGGGGATACATACCATTTTTGCAGCGTGAACCAGCAATTGCAGAAGAAGACGTCGGCGGTGACTCTCTCAAGCTCTCAATTGGAAACAGCTCGACTGAGAGTGAGGAGAGTCTTGGGAGATAGATCGCGTGCCCTCCTGCAGGTAGACGTAGGTAATTATAGGGCATGACGTCCAGTCCATTCAACCAGCTGCAATTCTGGGGGCTGGGCCTGTAGGCAGCCCTGCGCTAGGCCAATACGGTGTGCCGCTTGCCGGGAGGAACCTTATCATCCAGCAGGTACCCCGGCAAAGTGCCCTAAAGAGGTGCCTATTTTAGCGGGTATTGGGGCTTGTCTATCGCCCGTGCTGCAGCTCTCGAATCTCGATGCTCTCCAACTCTCATGTGGATCATCCGCATGAGCAGGGCGCATGGCCGATTGCCACATCACATGGCAGCCACATCGAGGGCTGTCATCTGATTGTCTCTCACCTGCAGAGCATTCCATTCTCAGCTACGTTGCTAACCTGAGTCTCCTCATTGGTGGTTGCCCCGTTGGCGTAGATACAATCTGACACAGGAATGGACGGAGCCCCTGCTAGACACCAGCAGGATCCGGGGGGTAGGACAGATCTTTTGCCCGTTTCCTTGGACTAACACGGATGGGCTGTTCCCATTCCCTCTTTTGCAACACGTTGTTAACGGCTGCTGATTACCCGGTCAGTACAAAGGGTTTGCTCTGCCCACCAACGATGCTATCGAGAGCCTGCTTGCTGGGAATTGAATTCCTGCCGCTGTCATGGCTCGGTTTGCACCTTAAATCCTCAAACCTCGTTGCTGTCGCCAGAGCTTAAACTGAGTTTGTTTCGGAGCATTGCCCCAACCTGTTGGTTTGGGCACAGCAGCCAAGCCACCATGGCACGTATCACTCAACTGGGCTGTCCCACGGGATGACACGATGCGGAGAGATCAGAGTGGTGACTACGGCTGGTGAGGGAAGGGGGAAGAGGACGAGAACGAAGAAGGCAATCGGGCGGGCTCAGCATTGCTTGCACCTGTATGTGTGAGTGATTGAAATCTCATGGCAAGGAAACAACCGCGGACAAGAGAGTGTCCTGGAAAGCACCATATGGGTTGATGGCCCTTACGTAACTGTGGACGAGCAAGCCAAATCACCAACGCCCGTGGATGCTGCCATGAGCCACCTCTGACTTGGGTTTTGGTTGTTAAAAGACTCATCGATGGAGCTAACGATGTCTTGGACCGGGAAAAGGAGAGCGAAACAGTGGGTTTGTGTAAGGCACGGCAGTGGCATGGCGTACAAACTGCTTCAAGCTTCCCGTCTCTCCTGGCTGTTATTATGAGCATCGTTATCGCAATTGCCAGCATGCCTGACCGACACAAACTCTGCGAGATGGCCAAGGAGCGTGGGAAGCTCATATATCGATCGGTGGGCGGACTGTCGTGCCACTTCGTAGATGATCCCCTTTCCCCATAGACCGTCTGCCAATAGCACCTTTCATGTCGAGGCGCCGACGGCAATGTGCCAGTACCTGCTGTACTACAACCGATGCGGATGCTATGGGCCGCTGGTAGCTGGCGATTCCTGTGATATTATCATTGAGCAGCTCAACCGGATCAACGAGCTGGAGTCCTGGGTGGGAGAGGGGATCAACGACCTCCCATTTGACCTCCCGGAAGACTGCCTTCCTAACTGGCACAATACAACCATAATCCCTAGCGGCGTATTCTGCCCTGGGTATTTCAACGACTGCCCAGCGATCAGAGACCCAAACCACCCATATGGCTGAGAGCGCGCACTCGGTTTCATGTGCACACTGTGTCATACCTTCTCCTGGGCTATTATTCGTTTGAAGAGCCCTCGAGCCCATCCTCTTTTTCAGGTCTCGAGGGTAGTATGAGGTAGCATTCTGACTGGGTAGAATGTACCTTCAACGTCGTACTCTTAATGGGTGGAGTTTGAAACCACAGCCCTTATTCTCTCCTTCAACCTATCATCGGTTCTATGTTGGACAATCGGGGTTTGGGCGGTCTGTTGGGGATGCACGATAACCCAACCCATAGAAGATGGGTTATTTGGGCCAAGCTACTTCTCTATTGAAACTGGTTGCGGCTTGGAATCTATTCTTAGGTTTTGAGTTCTCTATGGAGACATGCGATTGATTCGATCTCCTTGGTTCTCCCTTAAACCCGCGCGCTTAGTGGCTGACACGAAACATGATGCACGTCAGGCGGCTAAAGTATACGAGATCGTTTTATGAGCCGCATTGACTTTTGTACATACAACCATTCCACTTGACACAATTTGCGGGCCTGGCAAATGAAATGTTTTCCTATTGGAGTCGAGTGTTGCGACTGATTGTGGTTTACTGATGAAACCAATGTGCCTGATGCCAAGATATGCCATACAATTGAGCGCTTAACCAACACCTTGCCAAGATGCCTCCCTTGAAAAAAAGTATATCCTTTGTTCGACTCGCTGTTTTACGGGATGAGAATGGTTAATATCCTCCGACTTTGTGCCATTGTCTAAAGTTATTTCTTTGTTCATTTTCTTTCCTTACTTTTTCAACTTCGTGCCGCTGGACGGACTTTGACGAGAAACAAATCGTTTTCTTCATTTCTGATTTCTCTACCGACTTACCTATCATATTCGCTGCAAATCTACAAAATGCTGTTTATTGTCATTGCCCTTCTCTACTTCGCGGCCTTCATCTTGGCCAATCCCATCCCCTTGCCTGCTACGCTCAACCAAGAAGCCTACGAGGAGGCTCACCACAGAGACGAGACTGCTACTCGTGCCTTTTCCGACATCCAGATCAAAACTTCTGATGGGCGCTGTCTCTACGTTGACAAGACATCTGGAGACTTTCGCGCGAATCTGTCCCCCATCCAGATCGCCGACTGCGGGACAACCGATGGCCAAGGATGGGACTTCATCACCAAGGGCGCGCACAACGACAAGGAGGGCTACGCGCTCATCGTCAGCACCCTCACGCAGGCTTGTTTCAACGCCGATCCCAGGCGGAAGCCTGGGAGCCAGATCAACCTCTTCTCGTGCGGAGGCCGGGCGGATGGGTCCGGCGAGGTGACGGACTCTCAGCTGTGGAAGTTTGATGGGGGCAAGGGGCCACTGGGACTGACTCCCATGAATGGGGAGGGGTTCTGTCTGTTTGCGGCTGATGGAGTGATTGATGTTGATAACTGCAACAATGGGACGGAGCAGATGTTTACACTAGCTGGTTAGTGGATGAAAATCGGTCATCTCATTGATGATTACCTATAATGAGATGAATCTGGGTCGAGGTGTGGGGAAATTTGTTCTATTATTCACGAGCTTATGAGGGATGCCTATGGGAATGAAATTAAATGTTAACGAGTGTTTTATATTTGATGAAATGATGAGATTTCACACTTGCTCCTGTGTCTTACTGTGTTTGATCATGAAAAGAGAGCTGTATCCGTGGCCGACAGAAAGTTATGGTTGTTTTATACATGAGACACCAACAGTCACGGAGGGCTTTGATCCGTCACCTTCAACAACATCCTAGACGTATATATATAATAAACCCCATCATATATGGATAGACAACTAATATAAATACCGTCCACTTCAGATTATGTAGTTTAGGCTAGAATTGCATCATCTCAAACATCCCCTGTAGCTTCAGGGATGTTGAGGCTTATCACCCACTGATAAGAGCTCCGTCTCCACAAGCTCTGAGCTCGCTCCCCTCTCCCATTGTCCTCGTGCTCATATAACCGCAACACTTCGCGGCTGCTGGCTCTGAGATTCATGCCAGAGCTTGTGTGAGCTTGCGCAGCAGACATGGACAGGAAATCAGACCTGCCGCCGTATTCTGCGGCCACTGCCGCGTCGCCCTTTCGTCTCTCCCGCCGTCGACCAGGCTTCCGACGATCACGAGTCATCAAGGCTATCTCTGTCGCCTCGCTGATTCTCATCGCCCTTGGCCAATGGACGCTCATTTGGAACAAAACAGCTAAAGAGCCGTTGTTGTCGGCTGCTAAGCTGAGCGCGGACCTTCAGACTTGCGCCAAGCTCCGGTCTAAGCCCCAGGATCCAATTGGACTCGGTCGTGACAAGAATGCCCGGTATATTGAAGGCAGCAAGCCGACCCTGATAAAGAATGCTACAATCTGGGTTGGCGAGCCGATTGAAGGGACGAGCGCTGATGATGCGAGGGCCGGCAAAGGATGGGAGTGGATCCGTGGCGATGTCTTGCTCGAGTACGGGCTGATTCAGACGGTCCAGCATCGCATCTCCTCGTCGAGTCTTCCGGATGGCACGATCATCTTTGATGCCGAGGGCCGCCAGCTCACTGCTGGTGTCATCGACATGCACAGCCATGCCGGCGTGTATTCGCTCCCGCAGCTCCGGGGAAGCGCGGATGGCAACGAGGGATCAGATAACATCACGCCCTGGGCCCGCTCCATCGACGCCATCATGCCTCTGGATCCCCAGATCCAAGTGATCAAGTCTGGGGGTGTCACCACGTCTCTTGTCTTGCCGGGATCTGCCAACAACATAGGAGGCGAAGCCTATGTTATCAAGCATGCCGTTGGGAAGAAGGATGGTCGCAACGAGATCAGTGCTGCAGACATGCTGGCTGACCCCGAGCGTAGCTGGCGCTACATGAAGATGGCCTGCGGTGAAAACCCGAAGCGCTACCACGGTTCACGCACGACCCGACCTATGACAAGAATGGGCGAGAGCTTTGAGTTCCGCAAGGCCTTCGTGGAAGCGCGAGCCTTGATCCAGAAACAAGACGATTGGTGCGCCAAGGCCGAAGTTATTGGCGTAGAGAACATGAACGAGTATCTTCCACAGGAGATCTTCTGGGAACCTCTAGTTGCGGCATTGCGAGGCCAAGTTCATATCAATACCCATTGCTACACCATTCCTGACCTTGAAGCTATGGTCGATCACACCAACGAGTTCGAGTTTCCTGTTCGAGCTTTCCATCATGCTCACCAGACGTTCTTAGTTCCTGAGGTGAGTAAACCGACCATTTTGGATCTGAGAGACTTGTTCTAACACTTGACAGATTCTTAACCGTACCTGGGGTGGCCGGGCTCCTGCGTCGGCACTCTTTGCCGATAACATGTATTACAAGCAAGAGGCATATATCGGATCTCAGTTCGCTGGAAAGTATCTCTACGACGAAGGCCTGACCACAGTCTACGTCAGCGACAACCCTGTTCTAAATGCTCAGCACGTTCTCTTCGAAGCCGCCAAGGGTTACCATTGGGGTCTCCCATATCACGCCGCACTTTCCGCTGTTACAAGCGCCCCGGCAGAACTACTTGGGTTGGGTCAACGTCTCGGGAAGATCAAGCCAGGCTTCGACGCCGACGTTGTTGTGTGGGATAGCGATCCTCTCAGTGTTGGCGCGACTCCAGTACAGGTCTGGATTGATGGCACGGCGCAGTACGAGAACCCGGTGGTTCACTCCAAGAACACCGGTCCAATTGTGCCAAATAAAGCCTTGTCGCATATTGTTGAAGAACCCGAGGTGGTTCCAGATGCGCTGTTCAAGGGCATTACCAAAGTCTTGCTGTCAGGTGAAACCTTGGGATCAGAAGAGAGCTCGTTGAACGCCGTCATCACCAATGGCAAGCTCTCCTGCCTTGGAAGCTGCGAGCGCGAGTTCAAGATCGCTGCAGACTCTGGGGTCAAAGTGACCCAATTGACCAACGGATATCTTTACAATGGGCTAACTGGCGTCGCCGGCACACTTGGTCTGAACGAGATCGATGCCGAGTCAAGCACCGATAATGGCGACAACCCTGCTACCTTCTCTCGAGCCATTGACGGACTCGCGTTTGACAGCAAGAAGCTCCACGCTGCGGTGACCGCCGGCGTGACCAGGGCATTCTCGGCTCCCAAATTCCTCGGCGGCGCCACACACCATGGTACCAGCGTCGGCTTCGTAACAGACGCCCGGATCAGCCTGGACGATGGCGCCGTATTTGCAGACGACGTTGCTGTCCACTATACCCTTGATGGGAACGTCAAGGCCACCGCCAGCTTCTCAGCGGCGTTTGGCGCTCTTCGCACTGCACTCATCGCCGTCGGCCAGAGCAAGGAGGATCCCGCGCCATACTCAGAGGCCAGCTTCCTCAAGCAGGTCCTCGAGGGAGAGAGGACTCTGGCACTGACCATCAACAGTGCCGACGGTATTGCCTCTGCTCTACGGGTGAAGAAGGACCTGGAAGCCTACGAATTCGGCAAGAAGATTAGGCTGGCCATCATCGGTGGCGCGGAATCTCACATTGTCGCAAAGGAGCTGGCGAAAGCCCAGGTCGGCGTGATCCTGACGCCGCTCCAGGCAAAGGGAGAGTCCTGGGATAGCCGGAGGGCACTGCCGGGAGCACCCTTGACCAATGGCACGACCATCGACTATCTGCTGGATGCGGGTGTCAAGGTCGGCATCGGCCTGCTGGAGGATTGGGAGGTCCGCGACCTTGTATTTGCGGCCGGGACGGCCTACCGCAACGGGGAGGGTCGCCTGACCGAGAAGGAGGCGCTGGATCTGGTGAGCACGAACATCCACGAGATTCTCGGAGCAAAAGGCGTGCCTGAGGGACGGGAGAGCGGGCATTTTGTCGTCAGCGAGGGTAGCCCCCTGACGATCGGCTCTCAGATCAAGGCTGTTGGTTCTGGAAAGAAGGACATTTATCTCTTTGTCTAAGTGGTGTCAGACTTCTGAATTGTGCTGATCTAGCTGTACACAAACATATGTGTTGATTTATCATATATATTAGGCCATTTCAATGTATTAGCCATGGCATATGTGCAAGAGAGAACAATATCAATTGAAAGATTTAAGGGGAAGTCAGTCCGCAGAAACTAACTTTTAACCGAAAAAGAAATCGAGCGTTTACTGGATCTTCTTCTCCAGCCTCTCATCCTCCCAGATGATCTCTTTACCCTCGCGGGCCGCGGCACTGCTTGGTTTTAGCCATTCTAGAATGTGTCGTTCCAGCTTTGGCCAATTCGTTGCCTGGAACTCGTACTTCTTCCCATACCCATGAATCATCTCACTCAGGTCACTATACATGTCCTCACCCCTCCGATATCCTGGCCACTCCTTGTACGGGATTTTGTCTTCACCTTTGGGTTTCTTGGATCTCGCGTTTATTTCTTGAGCAATATTCGTAGGCGCCTGTGCCAATCCGATTTGGCGGTTAATCTCATTCGTGACGGCTTGACACCTCGCTTTGGAGAGATCCTTGACTTTCTTTTCAAATAGTGGCGTGAGAGCTCGTGGTCCGAAGTCACCTTGGAGCTGCAGATCCAGTTCCTGGTTCACGACTTCCTCCCACAGATTCATCCACTTTGGGCCGCCCTTTCCGGGGACGCGATCGGGAGGCAGATGCTCCAGGATGTGGCGGTATTCAAGACACGTGATGATTTGACGTTGCTCCTCGATTGTGCCCCTGAGAGTTTCTATCTCCTGGTAGATGGCCCCCCATTTGCTTGCTCTCTCCTCGGCACTGAGTTTCAGTTTCTTGAAGGCTTCCGCCCAAGAAGTGACTTGCCAAGAAGGGATTGCCGGGGCTCCAGGATCTGCCCTCGCAAACAAGCAAAAGTTGGCCTCCAAGAGCGTCGTGAGAGGGAACGCACCCTCGTATCGCCGTTGATGATGGTTGCTTTCGGAAGGCTCGAGCTTCATGACATCACAGAGGAAGTTCCAAATGTATTCGACCTCTGTTGGCCAATATTTCTTTGCCTGCCGGAATATATCTTGCAGCTTTTCTGCGATCGGCTTTGAAGCCGTTTTTTCTATGCCGTGTGAGTGCATGATATCGAGGGATCATGGTGATCCTGGCCAATCACTTACTGCGATCTCGGATGTTGGCATAGCTCTCCTGGAAGTTCATGGCGAAATTCCGCACTTGTTCGGCCAGAGCGCTGTCCTCGCTTGAGAGTGCAGCCGAGTCATCAAAATTCTCACCTTTGAAGCTGTGCCCGGCTTCATATTCATTCCAAACCTCCGAGGAATGATTTTCTGTGGGTTCTTCCGACCTCTTAAGGTGAGCTCGGAAGTTCTTTTGTATAAAATACCAACACAGGCGGTAGCTTTCTTCCTTCGAAGCCAGAAACGCAAGAAACGCATGGGTCAGATCTTGCGTCTTGACATCTTGGCGGAACACTGCCGCCCTCTGGATGGTCTTGAGCGGGTACAGCTCAAATTGGTCGATGATGGGCTTCAGGGAGGCGGCTTTTGTCAGGATCGAATCGAATTCTTGATGGACTGTCAGGAGGCACCAGAGCCAAGGGTGTTTCTTGTGGTTGGATTTGAGGCCATCTTCCAGCTCTAGGAACCTGGTCATGCGAATCCAGTGTGGCGTCACCTTCTTGAACTCATTGTCCTCGTTTCTCTCGGTTATGAAGTTCATTTTGATGAGAATGGAAGGGCAGGCAGTTAGAGTTGATTCATCAATCTCCGTGGCTTAATCAGGGAGATGAGCAAAGTTGTATCTGTGGATGAAAATATCGGTTGGTTATTCCCTATAATATCCTTCCCCTGTCGAGCTGAAATCCCAAAAAAGCAATTAGCTACTCTTTCCAGCGGCTATGGAGCCAATAGGATTTTCTGTATGAAATGACCCTCTCGACGAACCAGAACAGTGCACGAATTACGCCAAGCTGTTCAGCTTGCCTGCGCCTAGATGCAGCCGCACGAGGCAACCATCAGCGCTAATGCATAGCAGTCAAGGCTTGGAAATGTCAAGTTCTTTCCGTGGGAAAAACTTCCTCAGCTTTGTCTAATTTCGTGCTCTGGAGAGAGATGCCAAAATCGCCATTTTCAGGGCGCACATGCATACATTTGATGCTTCAAGGTTATGTGGAATAGGTAGGTGTAGAGAGAGCACCAAAGAATAGAGAGCCCAGAAAGCCAGTCCCTAACCCCTGGTCACCGTCTACAACTAAAATGTACACAGATCGAACGTATAAATTAGTTTTAGCTCTACTTAACGTCCTATTTTTGCCCTATCGCAAGTTAGCTTGAGATAAGAGGATTTCGACTAACGTGATGATTTCCATGTTGGTGTGCTCACCCAGTAATAAGAGGGCTTCTCATGAAATATGAAACAGTTAAAAACAGATTAATGCTACCTGTCTGACGCCCCCGCTTTGTGGCCGAAGCTGCCGTCAGCCGAACGGGTTCTATGAAGGCATACCTGTATACTTGACTAGAAATACGCAATACGCAGTAGAAGGCTCGGACCTTTGCTTAGACACGCCGAGGGAGAATACAGCATCCAAACAACCCGACCCAGTGTATTTATTACATAGATGTCTCGGAGAAGAATATAGCAGAAAAGCCACTGCTGTGCCGCAACTATGTCATCGTAACATTACCTGCCGCTCAGTCGGAACCCCGCAGTAATGCGATCCACCAGAGCTAAGCACTTATAAGCAGTTCAACCACGCCCTTCCGTCCTATCTCACCGACACTCCTTTGATTATTTCGCGATTCCAAGTACTCAATTGAGAAGAACCAATTCGCGACCATGGCTGAACCTGAATCTAAGCGGCTCAAGACCGAGGACGCTCCTTATGAGCTAGTCTACTGGCACGGCCTCCCCGGCCGCGGCGAGTTCATCCGGCTCCTGTTTGTCGAAGCCGGCGTCCCTTGGAAAGACACCTCAGATAAAGGCATGGAAGCCTCCACAAGCCAGGTTCTTGAGCTCATCTCCCCAGATTCGGGACCGTCTGTCCAGGGCAAAAATCCTCCCGTCTGCGCCGTCCCCGCTCTCCGTCACGGTGACGTCCTCCTCAGCCAGACCCCAAACATCCTCCAGTATCTGGCTCCGAGACTGGGGTTGGCCCCCAAGGAGGGCGTTGCCGTCTACCACCTGAACGAGATTGTTCTCACTCTCATTGACGGTTTCGTCACTGAGCTTCACGATACGCACCACCCCATCTCCGTGGCTGCCTACTATGAGGATCAGAAGCCGGAGGCCAAGAAGCGTTCCAAGTTCTTCATTGAGGAGCGAATCCCCAAGTTTCTGGGTTATGCGCAGAGAGTACTAGATGCCGAGACCAGTGGCGAGGGACCCTGGTTGTATGGAGATAGTATCACGTATGCTGATCTCGTGCTCTTCCAGGTGAGTTGCACCAGCCTTTCATCAAATCTCCCTCTTTTCGAGTAGTCACGCTGACCAAGACCTCTAGTCTATTGATGGGACCCAGTTTGCTTTCCCCAAGACATTCCAAAAACTCAAGGAATCAGGTAAATATGATGGTGTGTTCAAGCTGTACGACACAATCAAGGAGCGTCCGGCAATTAAAGAGTACCTGGCAAGTGATAAGCGGCAGAAGTATGGCGACGGAATTTGGAGGCACTACCCAGAGCTCGAGGAAGAGGATGAGAAGAAGGAGTAGGTTAAAAAAATTACCAGAAGGGGTTGAGAGATCTTTGCGCCCATGATAGGCTGGAATAGTACATTATCATGTTCACCATCAGGAATGATCAACCGAGCGTTTGAAATGCGTCTATTATTTCGATAGGCATTCGCCTTGAGTATGTATTGATGTATTTAGCTGTCTATCATGGTTTGCACATTAATCCGCTGAATCCTTCACTCCATTTCAAGCCACCCATTATCGCAATCATAGCTACCAGACCCACAACAACGCTTGTTGTCCCGTATATGTACGAATGTCGCTTCCTGAGACTGGTAAGCTCGGACACCCAGGTTGATATCGTCGTCAAGCAGCCGCAGAAGCCATCCTCTACCCCTTGCAGCACTTGACACCCGATTACTCCGCCAACGGAGGCGTGCGCGAGGTCCCAAGCCATCCCCAGCACCATGGTGCCCACGATGTTGGCAGTGAATGTACCCAGCGGGAATGATGCGATCTTCCCGTTGAGATACAGCGAAAGGTAAAACCTGGCCAAGCAGCCTAGTGGGCCGAAGACAAGAGAAAACAGGACCTCTCCTCGCCAGCTGTCATGTGGAGGGAAGATGGCGAGGAAGATAGCACCAATCCAGCAACCCCATCCAAGCACAACAACCACAGGATCCGCAATGCGCTGCAAGGCGAGGAAGTTCACGGGGCGACGAAAGACCGACTCCACAGCAATAGCTAGATGCGCCCCGATGAACAGGGCGGAGATGGACAGCGACAGTGTAAGAATGATCACAGCCAGCATGGCCATGAATGAATAGCCACCGTTGCGAGGGGCAGGCGAGCCCATCAGGTCGGGTGAGACAAGGTCATTGGAGATGGCGAGGAACGTATCTTTGATGAACGAGGAAAAGCTTGTGAAGCTGCCACAGAATCCGGTGGCGAGCCCAATGTAGAGGGGAATTGTCTTCTTCAGGGCCAAGTGCTTCTTCTTCGCCGCCTCAAAGTTGCCAGCATTCTCGGCCCCGCTTGAGCCGTTCGCGTCATCTGTCTTCTTTCCATCGCCACGAGATGGACTGCCGATGCTGAAAAGCATCCGATCCTCAATGAGGAACCCCATGATGAGGCTACCCGCGAAATTGGCCCACAGCGTGCCGGTGATGGCCGGCGCCCCCGGGTATGTGGTCAGTGCCGCTAGGCCTACTCTTGCGAGCGTGCCCAGGATGGCGAAGAAAACAAGGTACGACAGCGTGTACACCCTGATGGCGAGTTCCGAAGGCTCGCCGGTCTTCGTGATAGCAGCTCCTCCAGCCTCTTGGTCGGCTACCAGGCTTTGCCTTCTGGCCTGCTGCTGGCTTCGGGATTCCTCCAAGCTTCGATGACGATAGATTTCAGCCTCGTCTGGGTTCTCCACGGGAGGAATTGCTGCGAGCTCGTCCAAGTTCTCATACTGACCCAATGGCTCAGTCTGAGAATCATCCCTTCCCGACCTGAGCTCTTCCAGAATTTTATCCTCAGTAGCATCGGCATGGGACGTGTGGAGTGTTTGGTTTGCATCCTGGGTTAGAGGTTGCGGGAGGCCTTCTCTCTGGAGCCTTTCGTCCATCTTGATTATCCCCTGAACTTAGAGTCGACTGAAGGGAGAAAAATGACATAAAGAATGGAAGTTATCTTCGCGTATGCCTAGGCCTCATCGGAGCTTTGCGATTGTATGATTGAGCATGAAGAAAACAATTGAAGAAGGAGAGGGCTGTAGATGAGCAGAGAAGTGCGAGCAATCGGATATCACGGCACCGGGAGCTCAAATGACATTCATTCTGTGAGCAAACTTCAAATGAGAGGCCTTTGACTCATCGGCGAGACTAGACAGGTTAGTATCTCTGCAGAGCCCTTTGAGAGATACCGCCTGGTGCTTCGAAAAACACACATGAGGACATGTTGCTTGTGAAAGTTTAGAAAAATGAAAGTGAAATGTTTAAACTGGCTTTGATTAGCTTCATCTTCGACGCCATACCAGCGGAGTGGGGCGCCATAGCAGACCGACCTCTAAACATAACTAGCCACTACTGATCAGCCACAGTTAGCAAATGTGGCTTATACACTAATCGGGACATGTAACTTTCTGACAGGCAAAAGGACTTTAGACTCACCATTAGAGCAAGATTCTGCCAAAAAAAATTTACATAGCATAAATATTTCTTTTCATCTTGTACGATAGTAACTTAGACGTGCTGTAGGCGTGGGGTACTGCAATGACGTTTCGTCCGTTGTATTCGTGGATTGTTCCCGTGAGTGGTACAGCGGTATGGACGCTCCGCGGTGGGCCCAGCCGTGCCAATGCTGACGGGCTTCATTATGAGTTCCTTTGCAACATTCATGTAAGTAAAAGTAATTTGATCCCAAGCAGCTTACGAATGATGGGACGGATATTTCCACCTTCTCTTGCCCGTCGGTTGTGAGTGTAGTTCTGAACCATAGCAGCGACAGCCAACATGGCGGCTATACAGCCAAAAACAATACTACATATAACCTCCGTGCTCATATTGGAAGATACTGACCCAAAAGGAGGGGTTGCCGTTTGGATGGTGTTCTTCAAATTCAAAGAAAATGAAAGCGCCGGAATGAATTTTCATGTCTTTTGTCCTTTTTCAAAGGTCTTCGGCTCACTATATATAATTTGCTCCCAGTTCTGGCGGGACAGCTAGTACAACGTTGAAGACGGACATAGAGTAAGAAGTCATGCAGGCAAGGAAGAAGAAAACAGAAAAACAAGCACAAAAAAAATGACCTGTAGCATTGCTTGGTCCAAAAAGAGAAATTCCAGGAAGCGCTGGGAATGGAATAAGAAAAAGGTGGGTGTGCCGGTGTCGTGTCCCCGACCAAGGCTAACCTCATACGCCGTCCTCCGAATCGAAGGAGTGAAACATAGAGTTGGGCGGACGAGATTGCACGCGCGGCTGCATGTGTGTGGTTTATGTTCCGACTTCGTAAGTTGGTGGCTTTTATCCAGTCACTCTATTGGTGAACTAATCAATAGTCG